GTTAAAATTTTATTATAAAAATTAATTTTTTAAAAAAAGATGCAGGCAAATTTGCATGCAATACAATTTAAGGGATACCATAACACTACCACCTCCATATTTCTTTGTTGGAATTATATGTCATTCATTTAACAGTTCATTACACTGTTTCCAACACCACTGATGTCCATCAGATCCATATATTTTAAACCTGGATTCATCAGACCAGATAACCCAACGCTAATCATCAACACTCTAGTCTTTATATTTCTTTGCAAATTTGTAACATTTTTTGTGAGTTTTTTAGGTCAATAATGGTTTTTTTTGCTTCACTCAGGCAGCTAACCCATTTCTTCGTAATGCACGCCTCATCATGTTTTTACTTGTTTCCATTTTTTGGTCAATCTTTATTTTTTTTTTAATCTCTACAGCATTGGAACATTTACCAGATGCAAGTAGCCGGACTATACTTCACTTGTCTCACTCTGTAAACACCTGTGGGCACCCTGATTTTGGTAAGTCTTTTACGGAACCTGTTTTTACTGCTTTTTGGTTGATTCGAACAACTGACAATTGTGACACACCTTCTTTTTTTGCAACATAATGGGAAGGATAACCTTTATGAACAAGAGAATAGATTCATGATCTTTTTTCAACAGAAATACGAACCATGTTTATGTTTACAGGCGGGAGAGTTACAACAACGAAGAGTGTAAGCAAAAATTTAAAACTTTCATTAGAAATTTTTTTTTTGTTTTGTAGGAAAAATTTATAGTTGTTTATGCAGTTATTTTTTTATATGTAAACGATCAAATGATTTGCATCACTATTTTTAGAATTAGTTAAAAAAAAATCTGGTTTTAGTATTACATCACTTGATTTCAACAATTATCTATGATATCTATCCTCTATTATTTCAAATTATCATATTTGTTGGCAAGTATCGTGACTGAGTCATGAGATATTACTATTTTTTCAACATCAATGTGGGTGATGCAAAACAAATGGAAGTCACTGTATAACTCTAGCTAAGCGTTATACTTTCAAAGCATATTCAGTCAAAAAAATTTCAAAATGCGCCACTTATTTGCTAACTTTGAAATCCACTACAAAGATACAGCAGAGACAGTGCCCGATTCAAAGTGAATCCCTCTAGCCTGTAATTAAATTATTTATGTTGGATTCAATTGTGATGGATATAATCCTCACTAGTCTCTTAATATACATGTAACATTAACAGTCTTTGCTGTTTTTCAAAAGATATGGATAAGTTGAAAGTCCGCCACTTGTAAGAAAGCCTAACTGAGTTACGATTAGAAATGGAATGCCTAATAGTTTCATGTGATTTTTAATTTATAAATCGATTAGCACCTTTGTATGTACCAGACTTTATACTATCTTCATAAATAATAAATATTACATTAATGACCAGCCTAGTGTTTTGACCCAGGTGGGTGTCACCCAGGTCACCCGCGGGTGGTGGGTAACCTGGGTTAAAATATCATCACCCGGGTGAAGACGAGCGAGTCAACACATGGGTAATACGTAGACCAACCCATGGGTGGCCTGTAAAGAAACAAAGGCCACATCTTAAAGGAAGAAATTCGTCTGATTGGATAATTTTGTAGATCCACCTGTGATAATTAATCATCAAATTATATAGTTTTTGAAAATCCATCACTTTAATACTATATACAGAAAATGAAAGACAACTCATATAAAAAACTTACAAAATAATAAATATATACAAAATATTTTATCAGATATATTTAAAAAATAGAAAGATATGTGTAAACTAGAAATATATATATGATATTTATTATTAATAAACTTAAGCATTCAGAAATTTATATAATATTGGTATATAAGTTATATTTACAGTTAAATAAACCCAATACTTTATAAAATCTGATCATTAAACTCAGATTTCTTGCTATTAAAAGCTTACACTTATTCAAACTAAACAGTTAGTAAAAGTTTATTTGAATCTAATAATTTTTTTTTTTAAATATTTCTTGTTGTACTTGCAATTAGGAGTGCAGATGGCACTCTTTTATTAAGGCATTACTTTATTTGGTTCCTGCAAGTTTACATATATTGTTACTACATACATTACCAGTGGTATTATCTAGTTCCTCCATACTACATGTTAATAAGTTTACCTATAGTAACCCAGAATTTTAGCCTCATGGTATAGGACTACTAATTTCAAGGTCTGCAGTTTTTTATCAATATAGCTTTACAGATTCTGTCTTCTTTTTTAGTATATCTTTTTCATTATTTTCTAATCTAGGAACCCTTATATTATCAATATTTCTTGTTGGATTATTTTCTTATCTGGGTATTGTGTAACTCTGTAGCTATGTCATATAACTTGTTTGTTGCTATAGTACTCTTGTTTAAAAATAGAAATAGAAAATCTCTTTAAGATCATAAATATTTATAATTTTAGTACAGTTTGTCTTCTAGTTGGAATTAAACTAGTAATCTTGTGAATGCAACCTAGGAGTGTTAACTATTACACTACTGATCCACTGGTCTTTTGAATTTAATATAATAAACAACTTAAATAAAAAAATATTTCTAATAATTTTACTATAATATAATTTTGTATAGTTTAATAAGTAACAATATATTTATTTTTTAAACAAAGTTCACAAAAAGAAAATTCTTTTGAAATTCTTTTATATAGTGAATATTAGTATTTGTTTAAAACTAAAAATGATATAATAATTTTTTATTAGTAAAATATTCAATTCTAAAAAAGTACTATCTAATATATAAATATCTAAATATATATTACTTCAACTTGTTGTCAATGCTCTAATATAGAAGATACTCTATATATAGTTCTATATACTAAAAACAATATAGACATATAACAAACACTTCTGAATATAATTGACAATAATCTAACAATACTTAATATTTCATTTATCTTTTTATTAATTTTTTTAAATATACTACTTTACTTTACACTTAATATAACCAATCCATAATATTATTATATCCTAAATCTACTTGTAGGCACTATATTTTCTATAATCTTTGATTATATTAAAATACTTACAAATAAACAAACTATATCTTTTCTTATAAACTTATCTAATAATTTTCTATCCTGGATCTTTAATAAAATCTGATTCTCTTGAAATATTGTATAACACCAATAGGAAACTATTCAAAATATTATCTCTAAAAACAAATATATTAAACTCTTTTTATCTACTATAACTCTATTATCTAATGCAAATCTAACTACAACTCTAACAATTAACAACTGCTCTACTATTAAAAAATAATTCTTTTAAGATTACTTACTAATTTTTTGTTTTATATAATAATAAAATAAATATCTTAGGTTACTTTTAATCTATTCTAGTTAGAAATTAATAAATTAATTAATTATAATATTTATTAAAAATAAAATATGTAATGTTATATTAAGTGTCTTAAAATCAAATAATACAAATATAGTTAGAAATTTTTAATATAAAAATTTTCTTCTATGTATTTATAAAGTTCTACTCTAATATTATATAAATAAATAATAATAATAATAAAATATATATATATATATAAGTTACTTAGATAATTGATTTATATTAACTAATTTAACAAATTTTTGTTTTTAAAACTAATCAAAAATTTCAGAATTGTAGATAATCAAATAATATAAAATACAAATAAACTTAATTAAGAATATAATTGTTTTTATAAATTCTGAAAATAATTTAATTACCAACTTTTATTCAGTTAAAAATGGTATAGATCAAGGAGAAACTATAACTCCATTATTCTGGAGAATCTATTATGAT